CGTCGGAAATAACAATAGCAGGAAGTGCTGGCATATTTCTCTGTTGTCTCCTCAAACGCTTACGGAAATACTTCTCAGCAGACTCAGCAGCTTTGGTCACTGAATTCAGCAATATGTTTTTCATACATTTCTTCCATATGTTCGGTATGCGGTCTTGCGTGCCCAACTCACTGCGGATGCTTTGTTGCACTGCCAAGGTGTACATCGAAACCAGTTTCCATGCCAGATTTTGCTGATGTGTTGACAAGGTGTTCAGAGAATTCAACATATTGAAAAGAGAGTTGTGCTGAATATGACGTAGTGAATCACCAGGGAAAAGAGATAGGATTTTTGCAAAAGAAAGTTGTCTCTGTTCTGCAGCTCTTACACAGGAAGACAGAGCATGTTGTTCATCCCCAAGGACCCTAAGCCCCAAAGACCGTTTGCATGCTTGACAAAACCGTTGTTGTCGTTGTTGCCGGATATACCTGCCAGTCTCTACTTCCAACAAGTGAGAGGACAACAAGAAATTGTTCAGCGAGCGGCCGCAAAGCAAACCCAATGATAGCGCAGTAGGTCGAGGGGATTCAAAAGTAGGAATTGCGTGTACAAGAAAATTGTACTTGCCGGAACGAAGTGTCCTCAACATATCTTGCTCAGCAATGTTGTTACAGCGTTCACGAAAAATTGGAAACCAATGCCTTGCTTGAGGCGCGGTCCAATTCAAAACATTGCCACGTCCTCCCATCTGATCTAACAAGTCAATTCGTTTGAAAAAGGAAACCATATCAAAAGCCCATCCGTTGTCATGCAATCTGCAACATTGCTTTCACTGTTCCCAAGCTCCTTTTTCCATAACATCTCCATGTTCCAGGATAGAAATCAAAAACTTGAAGGCTTGAACTGCTGCAAGGACCCAAATGGGATACAACCCCACAAGCCATAACATGGCCTCAAGCTTTGTTCGGGTGTGTGCCCTATAGTGAGAATACGCAATGACTTGGCGTCACTTTTGTCAAGTCTGTATGCCCGGCGCCATCCCCACATGTCAGCACCAAGCTAAGCAAGAGACCGAACTTTTGTAGAATACAGCGTGGTTCTCATCTCATTGGCATCATCGGATGTTCGAGGAAAAGTTGTATAAGAGAGCCCCCAGCTACCTCCACCCGCTCGGCATTAACTTCCCATTGCTTTTGGTATCCATCGGCTTCTACATGGAAACCAAGGTATTTGGCCCAATTTCGGCCGGTTTCAAAAATATTCCCACGGTTGCCGTGGAGGATCCACTTGTTGTTTTCCTGAGGTTGTTGGGAGCGAAAAACTGTTATTTCAGTTTTAGGGTATGAAATACGCAACCCGTCTTCTTCTGAAGTCCTCTCAATGATGTCAAACTGTTCCTGCAAACCCAGGTTTCCAGCATTGGCAGTCATCAAATCGTCCGCATACATAAGCAAGTGCACCGGAATATTTCCAGGCAAGACAATAATACCGGAGCGTATTGTTTGCAAGTTTTCCGCAAGACCAAAATCAACATACAATGTGGCAAGTTCAGGAGACCACCCTGATCCTTGGGGAACACCAACCAAGACCTTAATAGACTCACCGCGAGCTGTATGAGAAGTGACCTTAACCGAATGAGTTTGTACTAACTCCTTCCAAAGCATTATGATATGGTCAGGAATCCCAGCTGTCTGCATTTTGTGAAAAAGACGTTCTTGGCGAAGAGTATCAAAAAATTGTTCGAAGTCCACGAGCAAAAGTCCACATGCATAATTTCTAGATTCTGTGCCTGTTCGCGGCCATAAAGCTGCAGACAGGGTTGCCAAAAGAATGAAAATCCGGCCAGTTGTGCGTTTGCATTGCTTGAACCCGCCCTGATAGGCGCCTGCAGTCCAAAAAGGCTTCATCAGGATGGAACCAAGTTTTTCCACCTGTTTGCGTAAGACACTCATAAGGCTCAGTTTCCTGAATTCATTGCGTGTATGACCTTGTTTCCCAGGTTTGAGAATAGGCTTTATCAAAGAACCACGATGGTGTCTAGGAAGTACGGCAAATTGACCTATCAATCGCAATAAGTTGTCAAGATCGACGCGTGATTCATCGCAAAGACCTCGGAGCAAGCGTAGCCATTCTTCACACCATTCATCCTCCCCCATAGCTTTTCCATTACGTAATTTCCAGAGCTGGTTTGACTGGATGACTTCGTCTGGTACATCATGGGGTGGCGCAGTGAATGCCCGCAACTCCGCTTCCCAAATTTTGGATTCCAATTCATTATGAGGAAACCCTGTTTGCGAAACTTGGCGAAGACCATCTTCAATCATATCCAAAGTAGGTTTGTCAAGAGCATGGTTCACATGTTTAGCTGTCAGTTTTCTCCACATAGCTGCATACCTTTGTCCCGAAGCCAAAGCACTAATTGTATCCCAATCTCCTTGTTGTTTCTTTCTCTTGTCTCTAGCGTAGCTAATTTTTGCAGCTTTCCTGGCGGCAAGCATGTCAATGTAAAGGCTGTTGTTGACATCGACTGGTGCATTTGCAGTTGATCTTCTCCATCTCATTTTCAAGGAGCGAAACCGTCTTTCCAATTGCTTGGTTTGCCATGACTTGTCCTTCATTTGGTTGTTGCTGTTTG